CCTTTGAAGGAGTGAATCTGGTGAGGCAACAGAGGAAGACGTGTACCAGTCTCTCTTGCACTCTTGATACCTCATTAGCTTTTCTCTTTGGGAGGCTACAGTTTTGCCATAGGAGGTTGAATCTCATTGTAGTTGATACTTTGCTGAGTAGTCTTGGCTAAGCAGTGAAAAATATGAAGTCCTGAGTAACCTAAAGAAATTGATGGTTCGTAATTATGTTGCAAGGAGCAATGTGTAACAAAATGAATGTAAACTTATTAATTTTCAAATGAAGGAGGGGAAAGTTGAAAGGGAACTGCAGAAAAGAAGGAGACCGAGCATGGATTCTAAAAAGCATGAGAAAAAATAAAAAAGATGAGGAAGAGGAGGGGGGAAAAAAAAGCACAAGAGCAAAGACTGTAATCGTGTGTCCCAGTATAACAAAGTATTGTTTACCTTGTCTTCCTTCATCTCACTTTTCATCCATTCAGCTTTTTTCCTGTTTTTCTTTTTTTTTTTCCCCTTGATTATCTACAACATCCATACGACAGATCCATTACTTCAAAACTTACCTCTATAACATGCATCACCTCTGTGATGTCCACATGTCTTTTTATAACTTAAGTTAAATATAAAATCATTTGAAATAAGTTCTAAGATTGGTTTAAACTTAGTGAGAGAGATGACTAGGTACAACATATACCAAAGATTACCAGATCATTTATCTGGGGCTGAGCTCGTGGCCTTTGCTTACAAATTACAGAAAGCACCATCTAAATAAACAGCTTCTTATCTTGACGTGTTTGAAAGAGCTCATCTGCAGAAGGGGCAGATCTGTGCTCAAGAGCTAGATAGGTTTTGATTCATGTCCATGCAGACCTGGACATCACAGTGTCAAAACAGTATCATTTCCTGCTCAGGATAATTCAGGCTTTGGTCACTTTAGCCCACAGTGCAAAAAGCAGAGTAACTTCTTGTGTGCCTTTGGAATTTTCTACCATCTTTCCAAATGGAAGATGTGATCATTCTGGGGGAATGGGAAGGAACAGGGCAGGAACTTCTACTCAGACTAGATAACAAAGATTATGTCTCTGAAGTACTGGAGTACTCTGGAGTTATGGAGTACTGTGTCCAGTTCTGGGCTCCCCAGTACAAAAAAGACAGGGATCTCTTGGAAAGAGTCCAGTCGAGGGCCACAAAAATGGTGAAGGGCCTGGAGCATCTCCCCTATGAAGAAAGGCTGAGTGAACTGGGTCTGTTCAGCCTTGAGAAAAGAAGACTGAGAGGGGACCTGATCCAGGTCTATACATATCTAAGGTGTGGGGGGCAGAATGGCGAGGCCGGACTCTTTTCAGTGGTGAGTGGAGACAGGACAAGGGGAAACGGCTGGAAACTGCAGCATAGGAAGTTCTGCACAAATGTGCGCAAGAACTTCTTTACAGTGAGGTGACGGAGCACTGGAACAGGCTGCCCAGGGAGGTGGTGGAGTCTCCTTCTCTGGAGATGTTCAAGACCTGCCTGGATGCCTACCTGTGCGACCTGCTGTAGGGAACCTGCTTTGGCAGGGGGGTTGGACTCGATGATCTCTGGAGGTCCCTTCCAACCCCTACAATTCTGTGATTCTGTGATGTCTCCATAAACTGAATTAATATATCTTCACAAATTGAACTTTGGCTAAGAATCTGAATAGAATGCAGTCAAAATAATTCTAAAAGTTGAGCTTTTCTGTTGGCTTATAACAAGGTGCAAACCTGATTTGGTAAGACGGGATGTAAATAACGTTGGTTGTGGTGCTCCACTACTGCTTTATTCAATGACCCTCTTAGCACTAGAAGTGTTTTAGCCTCTGTCAAAGTCCACCAAGTTCTTTTTTTCTTTGTCTTTCTTCCTTTTTTTCTTTTCTTTTCTTTTCTTTTCTTTTCTTTTCTTTTCTTTTCTTTTCTTCTCTTTTCTTTTCTTTTCTTTTCTTTTCTTTTCTTTTCTTTTCTTTTCTTTTCTTTTCTTTTCTTTTCTTTTCTTTTCTTTTCTTTTCTTCTTTTTTTTTTATGTTATGAGGTTAATATTTCTTTAGCACTGGTTGAAATGGTGTCTACTATAGTCATGTGTTTGGGAAGCAATCTGTGTTGAAGCCTGTGATGTATACAAATAATAAGAAATTATTTTTTCCACTATCTCAAGTGAAACAACAGTGAAATAATTGGCATAGCATGACATAGCAGATCAATATCAGGACATGGTTAAAATCAGACATAGTTTAATGACCTGCATGGTAGATTGCACTGCTTCAAGCTTGAACACCTGAAATAGACATTTCAAAAACACCACTAATGTTTAACCTTAACTTAACTCTTAGACCTTCTGCTTTCCTCATAAGTCAAATGTTCTAATCCACTTGTCATTTTCTCCCTGACTACTGTTGAGGCTGGCAGCACATCTTTTCTCCTATTGAGGGTATTTTCAATTTTCATTTCAATTAGATAAAAAAGTGGACTGTCTGTATATTTACATAAAGCCTTGCAGAAATTCTGGTTTGAGATACTACACAATAAATCAAAATTACAAAAAAGATTGTTCTCTCAACAGCAGACTCGTAGATATATTCAAGTTTATGTAAAAATAACAACAAAGAAAAAAACCCACTGAAAATCCCACCAAACAAAAAGCCAACCAAAAATAAACCTGTGAAGACACCAGTGCAAAAACCAGATAATTGAAAAACACTGTATTTTAGATATATTTTTAACAGAGCATGCAGAGGGTTTGCTACGAAGTCAAATGGAGTTGTAACATTAGCTGCAGTGAAATGTAGGCTCAAATAAGGAGACAGCAAGCGACTGTTCTGCTGCTGAGGAGTTCCAGCTTTGATAGTGGGAGAACGTAGCTATAAATGAAACTGTTTTAAACATGATCAGAACACCACTGGGAGGCAAAGGCCTAATGAACTATTAATAGTTAGTGTGATAAAGTGTTAATTGGTTATGTGCTGTTATGTGCAACCAGTTTAGCTGAGAGACACATTAACCATCTTTTTTGAAACCTTGATGTCACCTACGGATTTGCTGACAGTCATGAGTAACAAATGCAGCTCACATTTGTTTGTAAAAGCAGTTAGTTTTTTGTTAACATTTTATAAACCTCTGTGCAAAATATAACTTATTAATGGTTATTACTTGTCCTTTAATTGGAGTGATTTTAGAGAAGTTTTGCCTTACACTGGGAAGTTCAAGGCTAAGTCCTGGATTCGGTCTAAATTGCCATGGCCGAAGAACTTCTTATTTTGTGACTGCAGGCAGAATTGAAACAGATTAAAGCAAGTGTAGATAACACTATTGAAGACTTGACTGATGTGCTCTAACTGCAGTAGGTTTGCTACCAGATGTGGAGCTGTAACACTGAAGTATAAAGATAGGAAACAGGGAAATAAATGATGCTACAGAAAAACGTTAATTGCAGATCAAGCAGAACAATTAACTTATATGATGGAGCTGAATTAGTGTATTCTGACAACATTTAGCCTTTTATAAAGCTTAAGAATGACTTGTCTGTCTTGCAACTTCTGTAATTCTTAAATATTTTTCCTTAACATGTGGACGTGTTACATTCACATTCAAATGCCTTAAGTTTTACTATCTAATTTCCAAAGAAGTTTTGTCATGCTAGCCTCCCTTAGCATTATGCTGGGAAATGTTTGTATTTGGCCCACATTTCAGTTGGTTTTCACAGAGGCTTAGAAGACTGAGGAAACTGTTTTTTGAGCTTCATTGGCAGAGTGTACTGCAGCTTCACGGGCTTTTGTATGTGTTTGAGTATCCGTAGTTCTTTCTGTTCTGATGGAGTACCAACTGACGGAAAGGAAGAGGCCATTGTACCTTTTGGCAGGACAGTTGTTTGCCTTCTCTCTTGAATTCTGGGTCTTACTGTTTGTTTAAAAATGGCAACCCCAAACCTAAGTCAAGTCATCCTACTTTTATTTCTGATGAGATATTGAAAGGTATATTTGGGATATTGTGGAGGGTGGAAGCTAACGTATGCTTCACAGCAGTGAGTCCTGCAAGCTGCTGAGCTTTCTGCACACAAACAGGATTGCCTTAGTGCTATCAGAAAACAGTCTCCTTCTTGCTGCAGAAGTCCTTATTTAATAGGAACAGAAAATATTCAACTATCATATACCTTCACTCCAACCAGCATGATTTCACGTTGAGAGGAATTTTTTTTCCCCCCTCTCCTGGCATACTTCAAAAAGTAGTAAATGTAAGACATGAGGTGGAGAAGCATGAATATACTGAGGTAAATTGGGACTTACTGGTACTGTCACCGATCCCGAAGCAAATTCTGGACAGGATGTGCTGTGATGGAGTGTATTCTTGTGGAAGTGATGAGGCTCGCTGCTGTGGATGCAGGCAGTAGTGGGCTATGAATAATATAAGCCCCGCGTGGGGTGGGGGGAACAGACAGCAGGCGGATCAAAGGCAAAGCTGTTCTAACAGCTGGGTGGTCGCTGTCTGGCTGGAGCTATGGAACCAGTAGCTCGGATGAGCCAAAGGAATTCCTACAGTTTCGCCCCCTCGGGGCAAATGGATGACTGTGTGATCACATATCTTAATGATACCGGCTGCTCTCGCTAGGCAAGCACGCACGTAGCAGCAAAACGGGAGCTGCCCGCTGTTTCCCATCTAGTCTACCGACTCTTTGCAGGCGGCTCCCGAAATAGCGCGACAGCAGCCGTCCCCGCGTGTGCGCGCGTGTGTGTATGTGTGTGTATGTGTGTGTATGTGTGTGTGTGTATGTGTGTGTGTGTGTGTATGTGTGTGTATGTGTGTGTATGTGTGTGTGTGTGTGTGTGTGTGTGTGTGTGTGTGTGTGTGTGTGTGTGTGTGTGCGTGTGCGGGTGTATGGAGAGCAGGTGGGCCCCGCTGTAACCCCGCCCGCGCGGCTCCCCGGCGGCCATACAGCGATGGCAGCAGCCGCCGTGCCGGAGCGGGCTCCTTATTGGAGGAGGGGGCTGTCAATCCGCGGCCGAGCAAGCCCCGCTCTTCGGCGAGCCGCTTCCCTGGTCTGATTCTGGAGCTGCGGCCGGTCGCGATGGGAAGCGGCGTCGGAGGGAACAAAGTTTGCAACATTTGGGCACTCGGCTGCTCGCGGCCGTGATGCTCGCGGTGGGAATCGGTGCCTGAGGGAGCGGCAGCAGCCGGGCGGTCGGCACGCCCTGCTCTCTGCCGCCGATGCCGCTAGCGCAAAGTTATTTAGCGCTATTTTCGTGTGCTAAAATCCTGGATTCTAATTATCAGCCCTCCCCGCCCCCACCTCTCCTCCTAGGTAGGCGACAAATATTTTTCTTCTGTGGATCGCAGAACTTTTGGCGTGGAAATTTACTGACTTCTGAGAGGTCACCGTTTCGGGGAAAGGGGGAAAGGATTTGTTTTCATCGCAGTTGATTTTATTTTATTTTATTTTGGATCGCAGGATTTTTGGAGCTATATGGAGCGATCTCAGGATGGTGTGCACCAGGAAAACCAAAACTTTAGTGTCCACTTGCGTGATTTTGAGTGGAATGACTAACATCGTCTGCCTGCTGTACGTGGGCTGGGTCACCAACTACATCGCCAGCGTTTATGTGAAAGTGCAAGAGCCGATCTCAGAAAAAAAGTTAGAGGAAAGCAAAGAGGACACTTTACGGATTATAGAAAGGCTGGACCATTTGGAAAATGTCATCAAGCAGCACATACAAGGTACCACCTTACTCCTAATCCCCGCGTTGCTTTCCCCCTCGCCCCACCCCGTTGTTTTCAGTGTGCGATCTCCCATCCCCTCCCGCCGCGTTCGGGCAGCGTCTGTGTGTGCGAGGCGAGGCGGTCGTGCGGCGAACAGAGGGGAACCGCTCCTCTGGCCGGAAGCGGCCGGGGCTCCGCGGAGGCTGCTGTGTGTGTGGCGGTGCCCGGCGCGGGGGTACGGCCCGCACTGCCGCTCCGCCCGGGGCTGCCAGCGGGAAGGCGCCTTCACCCCGTTGGGAGTGGGCGCGAGGTGCAGGGGGAGCATCTTCTCTTCTTGCTGTCATCGCTCTGCAGTTGTGATTTTTCTTTTCCAAAAGGCGAATGCAGTTCTTATTCTCCTCCCGTGTGAGCGTGTGCGTGTGTCCGGCTGCGCTCCGGGTTTTCCACTAGTGCTGCTGTAGCGCCTGGGGCCGCTCGGGGTTTTAACTGGGACAGTCTCTCATTTGTGGAATGCCTTTTTAGTTTCATCTCCTTTCAAAGCGAGCTTTGGGAGACGAGTTGAGGTAGGCAAGTGGTGGGGAAGATGATGATGATAATTTCCTGAGAGCTTTGGGGCTTTTACATGACTTTGCTGGGCGATGTTTAGATATTGTATCATTGGCTTGATGTTGTACAGTCACCCTGTCTGCTGAGTGTGTTGGAAAGTAAGAAGGGTGGAGGGTGAATGTGAGCTCCAGAGGGACCATCTTCTTATATTTCTGCAGAACCTCTCCTGAAGGTTCAAATCACTCCTAAATCTGCAAAGGCAGAAGCAAACCACACGGTAAAGGATACCTGACACCAGTGCACAAAAGTTCACCTGCCTCCGGGCTGCTTTGGCCAAGTGGTTTTCTGGCAGCCTTGAGAAGGGTGGAGCGGGCAGGCTGGCTATTCCCTTGTGAACCGCGCTTCTGCTTAGTGCTGCGAATTGTATTAATGCACTTCTTAAAATATGATGCATTACAGTTCACGTTGCCTGTGCCTTCATTTCTCAGATAGTCCTACAATTTTGGGTAAATTACTAAAAAAAGAAACAACAACAGAAGAACACTAAAAAACAATAACATGCACAGTGTTGTGTGTGTGTGGGGTGGGGGTGGAAGGGGGAGTAGGATGAGTTATAGTAGAACCTGCAAGTTTAATTTTCTCTCATGCTCTCAAGTTTTTTTTGTGAACCCTGAAGATGATTTTAAAAAGGGGAAAAAAAATAAAAATATCTGTGTGTGTGCCAGTGGAGTGCACTGTGGAAGCATGTATGAAAGCAGCAGTTTTTCCATGGTTATATAGAGAAAATTCATTGGCTTTCCGTATAGAGTTAGAGCATAATTCTGTTTTGTTGTTGTGAAGCTCTGATAGCTTTATTTCAAGGAAAATCACAGTCTCCTTATCAGAGTGTCACTTGGAACAGTGATTCTTCTCAGAGTCTTGGAGAAAGGGATACTTAAATCAGGAGAGGGTGTAGCGTTGAAATAGAGCATAAACATGATTACTGACTTTCTCTGACTATGTAAAAAACAAACCAGGAAATATTTCCCTTAAGCGTTTGCATGACTGTTGAAGAGAATCTTCTAAAAATATGTAAGTGAACAGCTTGGTAATAAGTATGAGAGAATAGTTGGGGGCAGGAGGGGAAGGGGATGAAATTTACCAAGTTATCCTACCGTATTGAAAACACTTCTAAAACTAAATAAATATATCTGTCTGTTATCCCTTGGCTGAGTTCCTGTGCTTGTACTTTTGCAGATCATAGACTGAGGTTCACAAGAAATTTATCTGCCGGAGATAGCAGAATAAGATGTTAACTTAATTAGGTTTTGCTTTAGTGTTATGAGATGCTCTGACTTCTGGGTCACGTTGCAAAATTCACTGAAGTCATTGGAAGGAATACTTCAAGCACATCAGCTTGACAGTCACGTTTAAGAAATTACAAGTTTGGGACTCGTTGTCATAAGTTGTGTAAATCAGCTGTTATGATGGTTGTGAATTAGATAATGAGAATTAGCTGTAGTTTGCTGCAAAGGTTTTGCTTGTACCACTTTTTTTTTTTATGTTTGAGGAAGGTGTCAATAGCTCAGATGTTCTGCAGTGCTGAACAGGCACAGAATTAGCAAGGGTAATAGAATCACATTCTTTGGGATATCCTGCAAATACAAGCAAGCTCTAACTGCAGCATTTTACACATGAGGTTACTTTAATATTAATTTTTAATTTGTTTTCTGATGGAATTGTTTAATTAGATGGCATCTGGGAATTCTTGTAGCATATGCATTACAATCTTAGGATATTGTATCATCTGTCCCAAAAACGAGAAGGAATAAGAGGTGGCTGCATATAAAACAATTTTTAAAGTAAATAGTTCTTAAGACATAAAAATAAATATATTTTAAGACATCTTCATGGTAAGAAAATGCCATGACTAATATGTATGCCTCATATTCAGAAAGGACAGAATGGAGAAGGAACTGCTGGTACTGGCATTGGCCAAGAATGGGAAATTAGGTGTAGCTGCCATATTGCACGTCTTATAGCTCTGTGTATCCCCACTTCTGCACATGTTTAAGGGCAGTCATTCTTCTGATGTTTTCTGGGTGCTATTAATGAAATAAGAGCATGTGCTGCTAACTGTTTTCTCTGCCTTTATGGTACTTTCTTTCTTCCTTATGTATTAATTTCTGTTGTGTAGTCTACGAGCATGCTGTGCAGGAGTCATGCATTTGTATACTGACTTCCATGCTAAGCTCTGTGGGGCAGGATTGGTGGCAACTGCAGACTGAATAGGCAATATAGACCGCAGAAAGAAGTACTTTGTGGAGTGGAAGCATGATGCTGGGACTGGTGTTTAAGCCTTGAATGCTTTGCTTGGTCTAGTCCAGTTTACAAGATAATTTTGGTCAAATCGCTTTACCATCTTCACCATTTTACAGTGATGATGTCTTGCATATTTTTCTACAGCAGTGTGTTGTACTGACCGTGTTGTTAATTCTGTCTGAATGTTACTCAATCAGTACTTAAAATGTTTTTTCCTTGTAACTGTAGTAGGAGATGTACACTTTATTCTAGCAAGCAACCCGTTGAGGGAGGCTTTGTTTCCAGTGCCTTTTGAGTTTGCAAACAAGGTAGTGTTTTTTGAGATGAGTTGAGTGTGTGTGTGCAAAGGAAAATGAGGAAGAGGTCAGCTGGGTAGGTTTGTGCACAGTGCCATGTTCACAAGGAACGTTCTGGTTCAGAAAAATTCAGAAAACTCTAAATACCTCTTATTCAATGTAAGAGTGCTTCAGACGGATCAAAACACATAATTCATCTTAATAATGCCTCACGGATTGGCTCTGTCAACAAAAAACTTCCCTAAGTTGTGTGAGCATTTGGAAGATTGTGTGAACAGGAGGGACGCTCTTGATCAGATGCTTATATTTTAACAAAGACAAGAGGAGCAGCACTAACAATAAGGTAGTAATAAATGTTTTCTGCACCCTAGCTTTAGGCTGTCACAGATGATGAGTTGAACATTTTTCTTGGAAAGCTGTGCTATGGTTAAGCAGATACCTCATGCCTGCTCTCTTGTTCATCTTATGCAGTGTCATTTTATGTTTTTCAGCTTTCCAGTTTTAATCAGATGTTTACATTTCAGCATTATTTTTAAAAATTTGGACTATGAAATCAACTTTTTCACCACTTGAGGAATCTAAAGAAAATCATGAATTACATGCAATTAATAGTACATCTAAGTTAAAGTTGCATTGCAAATACGTGGTTTATCTCTGGACCAGTTGAATTCATAGTTAAGACCAACAGATGGGTAGTAAGGCATCTGTTTTTTACGAGGAACTTCATTCCTCATCTTTGCCTTGTGCAGCATCTCTTGTCATAAATAAATGGCATGTCAACAACTGTACACACTAACTTGGGAAATTTCATAACAGAGGAGACACAGGTTATTTCTCAGCCTGCTGCTTGGAGTGGTTTGCTCAGTGAATTTATTTCAGCTATTGTTAGTTGTCCTAATCACTCTCTTATGGTCACTTGGGAAGGCAGAGATCTCCAGGGTGTGACTCATTCCTCATTCCCTGTCTCTTGGACAAGTATTAGAATGGAAGGAGTTGTTTCAGAAATGAAACATTGAATTTGGGAACTAAACCAACCCAGACTTTTAATTTCAGCTATCTAAAGGTTTGGGTAAGTTAATATCATGTTCAGTGTCTGCTTTTTATTTGTTTATTGGTCTCAAACATCTGCTTTGTATGGCTCTCCTTTGCAGCCTGGTTAGCTATGTTGATTCAGCGAAGTCAGGCTTGTTTTGATTTGCTGGATTGCACCCTATCTCTTATTTTCATGGTAGTTTCCTTTTGGTAATTGTTAATTGTAAAATTCCCCCAGCTTATTTCTCTCAAACACAAAAACATCTAGATATTTTAGTCATTCAATGTGGTATATTTACTCTGAGAAAGAAATCAGCAGTAGACAGTAAGTAGCTCTGGGAACGTGGCTCTTGCTCCAATATGGAGGACCCTATGTTTACCATATATATACCAGCAAAGAGACCTACTGTCCCAGTGTAACTAATTGCAGAAGAGGGAACTACTTGGATATGTAAGACGTGCAGGATTAATCTCATTAATTTTTCTCCTTAGGCCATGACTTTCCAAGTCATTCTAGATTGTTGTATGCCAGTGCAGATTAATTTGAATTTAACTTCAATGACTTTTCATTATTAGGGATGGATGCACTAAATAAGACGTTAACGTAGTGTTTTCAGGTAGAAGAGTCTCACTAACTTGAAGCACTGTTCAAGATTCAAATAGTTCAGGGACAATATACTCAAGAGTTAATGACATTGGTTATACTGACTGCAACTTGATAATTTAGTATTACTGTTATACCCTTTCTTTTTTTTTTAAATTGTGCTTTTTGAGCCAGAAAAAAAAAAATTCATACGGCTACCAAGTCAGAATGTGCTGTAGCTTTGTAGGTGGAGAGGGAAA